ATAGGGTTGATCCTATATCTCTTACAGGCTCAGATTAACCGAAATCTGTTCTCGGAGTTTCGGATCGAGAGATCCGATCCTAATCAGGATTTTGACCGGGAGGGCTTTTTAATATTAGAGAGGATATAGACGGCAAGGTCTTTATCCAACGTCAGGATTCGTGACACCAGTTTGTCAATTAAATTCCGCGGACAAACACGCGTGTGAGATCTGATTCCAACACAAATTAAGAGTCATTTCATTTGATAAACAAACCATAGTAAATTTAATAAAACAAAAGAAAATAAAAACTAATACAAAATATCAAATGAAGGAATGATATAACTGCTACAATTAAGATACACATCGAGAGAGAAACGACCCTATTATAACCGATACAAGATCGAGAGAGATTACAATATCATTATAAAACATACAACCTGGTTTAGTTGTCGTTTGTCTTCTCTGCAGGCAAGGGACACTTTGGAGATAAAGTTCATTTACTTCTTTCCATGGGAGATCGATATGTGCACAAAATCAAAGTATAACTTCTAAGTGCTAACTCTGGGATTATTCTATGTGGCTCGTCTAAGGGCGTTGGCCATCAGGAGAAAAATGTATGGAGTCCTGACTCTTCCAGGTCTGTCAATGAACTCCCCGAATTCTGATAAATTTCCGCTATATCTGACGATCGGCGACCAATCATCATGCAAGATTCTTCCGTGGGAACGGACGAAAAGGGGAATATGTGAGGGGTAAACATTTCCCATCAAAGCTATATTTTTCGCAGATAAGGGAAAAACAGATGATGTTCTAACTTCCCTAGAAGGAAGTAGCATCTGTTATCTATCTTTCCCACGTTGGAAAATCGTTAATTTCTCACCAAAACAAAATAATATTTTATAACAAAAATTTAATATTATTCTGAAATTATTAATTTAGACCCAGGGCCTATTCAGATCTCACAATAGCTTTAATATATGTATATATACAGTGGTGATATTCGAAATATCTAACAAAGGGTTCGCTAACAGAAAATTTTTCCTTAATTTTTTTTTGCTCAAATGGTGCATTAGCGCAAAAACTGACCTTAAGATACCCATATGATATGGGTATCTTATTATATAGCCTGACACGTGTTCCGCAGCCATCTTGTATTTTCTCGTGCTTGTGAGATTGTGGGATATCTCTTATGACTGGATCTAGTTTCAAGAACTCTCTTGAGTCGATTGCGATTGAAACAGTCGAAGGAGGTTGCACCAAGGTGAACGGGGTATAAGGCACTAGTTTAGTAGTGTTACAGAGTATAATACGTATATTTTAATATATTTTTGAAAACTTTGAAAATGTTAACAACGGGTTTGGCAGAACCTGTGCGAACCTGCTGAATATCACCACTGTATATATATTTTCCCTTCCTTTCTTCTTTGTTCTTGGTTTTTTTGTATATAACTTCCTAGAAACTTTTCCCAAGAGTAGGTGATGGGTGACCTAGTTTGTGGACAAAAGGAAGGGGTAGCCCAGAGGCAAAAGAAAAGACATTTGTTTCCATTTTTTGCTGGAGCGTCAAAGAGAGAAGACACATCAGAGTGTTCTCCAGGTCGTTTTGGCATCGGCTTGCGAGAGAAAGCAACGAAGACTTAAAACTAGCAATCGAGAGGAACCGAGTTCCTTGATATAAGGACCTCTGCGAGGATATAGGAAAGTTTTGATCAATTTTCACCTACATTGTTCCCCACAATTCAGAAAGATATCGTTCGACCACTGCCACCTTGATCGTCAACTATTGGGTACTCATTCTTGCCTAGCACTATCGATCTACCTGTTCTATTTTCTATCCTTTCTTTCTTTCTTTTTAGTTTAAGTAGTTTGTAAGTTTTTAGATAAGTCTTCTTTGTACCATGCCAGGTATTTTCAGTAGACCTTTTGTCGCGAGGTTTGTGGTAGCAGTTCTGCCTTTAGATCTGAATTTGTTTGTATACAATAACAAACAAGGAGTGTCGGAATCCGAAAGAATTCTGTTAAGTCTAAAATACGGGTGAAATAAAGTACTTTTCTTATGTAATATATGCATATCTCTTTGTTAGATCAAACTCACCATATGTTTACGACCACATTCTCTTGGAGGTGCTTGTATGTACAGAAGGAAAACTTGAGAAGGTCATGGTAACCATAAAGTTTATATGAGACTGGGACTACAAAATCACTAACAGAAAGGAAATCCAGTGATAGGAAGGATTACCCAACACAGAATCATTCCCAGTTTACATTTAGAGAGAGAACATTATCGTCTTCATTTACCATTTTGGGCTTACAGATACCTCTCCCACTTTGACCCTTATAATTTTTCCTGCCTATTCCATACTTCTCTAGCTTTAGGATAGTTTTAAGATAGACTTTTTTAAGATCATGAGTTGATGCATAAAATAGTTGTTGAAATTTTGTAATGGAAATTGTAAAATAAACATGCTATTTTTCATGACATATGTGCTGGATTCATTTACAAACTTACATAAAAGAATTAATTTTCACAGTGGGTTTCTCCTGGAGGCACAACCTGTTACTAATAGTGGTAAAAATGTTTAAAAACAATATATGATTATGTAGAGAATCTAATCTACATTCACGGATTCCCTCCTGCCAATTCATTGTACTGAATTGAAACAGTCAAATATTTTTAAACTTTACTACTACTTTTTCCTTCACTCACTCTCTCTACTGTCCTTCCACCTTTACTCTGACTTTCCTTTTTTCACATTTTCCCTCTCTTCTGTTTGTCCTGTTTTTGAGTTGGAAACATTTTTACATTTTTGAGAGATGACATCATTATGGGTAGAAATAGTGTGCATTGAAGTTGCTTAAATAAAACAGTATAAAATTTTACTATAACTTATTTTTATTACAATTTATTGTGTTTATTCGAATTTTGTATGAAGAAATACATTAGAGGAGCATAGAAAAATTCTAATATACTAAAAGGCATAAATTATATACCTTTTTATTTTCATGAATTTGAAGAACTTATGTATTTTGCACTAAATCAATATTGATAAATAAATTTTGAACAAAGTGGTGACATTCAGAATATCATTAACTCAAAAATATACATATTTTCAAAATAAAGTTTTTTTTTTATTTCTAAACAAAAATGCTGATTGAATTTAATAAACACAAGTCCATTTTGATTAGTTATTTGAAAAATTTGGTTGAAGATGCTTTCTATGAGGTTCTGCAAAGTAGAATCATCTATTTTCTTTAAAGCCAGCATTATAGCATTGAGAAGTTCTTCTCTGTTGTTTCATTGCTAATTATTTTTTGGAAACTTTTTTCACTAGAATATTCCAGAGATTTTTCATGCAGGGTTCCAATGCACCTGAAAAGTCAGGGATTTTCGTTAGTGTTAAAATTAAGTCATGGGAAGTCGGAATTTGTCAAAATGTGAAAATATCAGGAAAAGTCTAGGATTGTGGCCGTCGGCCATGATATGGTATATTCTGTATATTTTATATTGAATTAGTCTTAGAGTTTCTTTGTCTAAATCTTTCTAGAACTTTTTTCGTCTAACTCTTTTGTGCCCTTGGGGGAGGATTACCCTTCCCTGGAAAAGGAGAACAAAGGGAGAGGGAGTGAGGCCCTGAAGCAAAAACGGACAGAAAGGGTAAGAGTCGGAGTTGAGATCTCGAAGAGGTAGGAGGTAACAAAGCGAGTGCTCCTACAAGAAAGAGGTGATCTAAGACGAGAAAGTGCAGAGAGAGGTCATCGAGTGAAGACGACTCAATCCGAAAGAAAAAGACTGTAGATGAAAGGTTTACAAGTAAGAAGTGATCTAAGACTAGAAAGTGCAGAGAGAGATCATCGAGGGAAGACGACTCAGTCCGAAAGAAAAAGACTGTAGACGAAAGGCCTACAAGAAAAAGGTGACCTAAGACAAGAAAGCGCAGAGATAGATCATCGAGGGAAGACAACTTATTCCAAAGTTGTTCTCCACCCAAGGGCTCATCGCAAGAAACCTGGGTATTTCTACTTCTTTCCTTATCTATCCTTATATCCTTTATTCTTTTATTTTTAGTTTTTAGTTAGTGTAAGTTAGTGTAAGTGAGTACGGTCCTCGTCAGATTGTCTCGTGTGTGCAAGATAATTGTTTTTGAGGACCAACATTGAGCGCCTGTATACATATTAAATTCTGGAAGTTGTAAAGTTGGGATCCAATAAAAAGAACCTGTTCGGTGAGAAAAAAGAATACTTTGTGTTAAGATTGTTCTCTTGTACCATTTTGCTCGCAGGATCGTGTACCTCTCATTACAAACACCACAGGATTTTGTTTACTTGGCTGTCTTGTTGATTTTTTTGCTCACAACATGATTGATCAAGTGTAGCTGTCGCAAGCAACAAGAAAAAATATGGTGCAATGCAACTTACAAAAAGGGGTGCAGAATATTATTAGGACCCAAAATTTCTTTCAAACATACACAAAATTTCCCCAAAAATTATTGCACACACAATAAAACCACAAGTTTTGAACCAATTAATAATTCAAATTACATATTTTGAAAAATTTGAATTAAATTATTTTGTATCTATGATATTTATTTCTGTTAGTTTTATTTTTGTTTCAATTTAAAAAAATGTTTGTCTTGTTAAAAATTTGTTCCATTTCTTTGTGTTCTAAATCATTCAGTTCAAAATGTGAAAGTTTGTAAATCTGAGGATAGTTATTAAATATGACCAAAAATATTATTTTTTAAAAGTATTTGCTCCTCTGAAATGTTAAGTACTCAGTACTTTATTTTAGATATTATTTTTTATTTTAATCAAAGCTCATGATAATTATGCACCTGTCAATGAATCATTCTGTTCAGTTTCTTTAATTAGCAGTCTGCTTGCATCTTTACATCATGATGCCAAGATTTGTTTATTTTGAAGTATATGCAATGAATTTTCATATTGAAATAATTATTTTAGTTTTTTGTTGATGTGAAAAATTTATAATTAATTAATTTTAGTACTTTTTGTATTTGCAGAATGTTCAGAGAATTGTTATAGTTGTTTAGATTTTCATCATTGTAGCTACTGTAAAGAAGGATTTTATTTGAAACATAAAATGTGTGTTCAGAGCTGTGGAACTGGTTATTTCGTAGATGAAAAATTACGGAGCTGTGAATGTAAGAAAAATTATAATTATAAATTTTGTTAAATTAGAAATTTTAACATCAGTTCGTTATGAAAATATCAATTATACAGAGGTTGGACAAAATAATGTGAACACCTGTAAAAATAATTATATGTTGCAATATCTTGGCATTTACTGGGGCCCATTGTGCAGGGATCAGGGCACAACATCATGTTAAACTTTTGAAAGATTAACTACATTTCATAGTACAAGCTTTGTTTCAAACTGGAGAAACAGTGTTCTAAGACAATAATGTGGCAAACACATTGCCAAATGTATCCAGTCCTGTTTTGATGAACATCAAGATAAAGTTCAACATTTTTCTTGGACTCCACAATCATTTGATCTGAACATCGTGGATTCATTCAGTGTGGAAAATCTTAGAGGCAAAGGTGTGCAGCAGGTTTCTTCCTCCACAGTTTTGAAACCTGACTCCATTGTTGAAGAATGGGGACACGTTTCCCTAGACAGTATCCATAATCTTTATTTGTCTATTCCATGTCAGTTAAATATTGTACTATAAGTGAAAGGCAGTCCAATCTCTCATTAAAATAACATATTTAGCTTGATGCCACTGGTGTTCAGATTAGTTTGTCCAATCCTATCCTATCTTGTATTGTGAATGAATCTTACTGGTTCAAATTATTCTTTCAATCACTATAACAGTGTATTTCTATTAATAGGACTTATCATACTGGTGTATAAGATTACAGCAACACAGTTACACAGATTAAAATTGTTTTATTCTACAATTACCAGGTAATTGTAAAATTAATACACTGTTATAGTGATTGAAAGAATAATTTGATTAAATTAAGGACATTGATGCATATTAATTGATGCATATTATTAACGAATCTTATTGGTATTTAGTACCAGTGTACTAAATACCAGTATACTAATATTTCAAGTAATCCCACTTAGTTTATACTACCAACCTTCTATATATTAACCATTTAATAAAAATATTAAAATAGAATGGATATAACTATAAGCAAATGTTTCTTCTTCCAATAGTGAGACTAGTGATGTTTATCACATCTTTTTTAATTAGCTGCAATTAACAGAGACTGAGATTANTAGATTATCTTCACTGCCTCAAGAAATAACCCTATTTCCAACAATGAGTACTTTTTATGCTTTTTGACGTGAACAATAAAAAGTGTTACTGTAATAAATGTTCCATTTTGAGTAGAATAGATTTTCTTCTCCTAATAAGCAAAGATGGGTTTGACCTCTGTAGAGTAATTCAAACATATGGTTTTAGCAGATCATTCTATTGTACTGTAGTGATCTGTCACTCAGATTAAATTTTTTTTTTCGTTGTATGTGTTTCACATGCTCCGTTTGTGCCTGGGCACCACTTTTGTAAAAACCCGCGGGACTCTGATTGGTTTGTGACTCGTGACGTCAAAAACGAAGAAGTATAAAGGGAGGTGTTTCACTCTTTGTCTGGTTATTTCGGACTGTGTTGGACACGTGGTATTAGTGAAGTGCGCGAGTGGATAAGCACGTGGTGAAAGAGAAAGGAGAATGGACAGTGTGGAGAGAGAACAGTAATCCAATTCCATCCGGACCTAGAATAAAGACTTCGAAGTGAACCACATATACATTGACCAAAATTTTACAGAAGAGCTCATGTAAGAAAATTTGTTTGTGTTTTTTTTCTCTGTTTTTGTACAATCCCTAAAAAATTAGGTAGTAGATTCGGGAGCCGATATAGACGCGTGTTAACAGTACTGAATATATATTGTCGGTGTATCAATATGCATGTAAGACTCCCGAAGTTTTGAATCATATATTTTAATAAGAACATTAAATAATAAGTGTAAAGTCCTTAAATTGGTTGGTGTTCATTGCCTATTACCCTCCACTGTAAACTGTATACTAAGGTATAGCAGTAAACTTAACAGTACTCAGAAAATAGGGGTTAAAGTTTAAGGACAGCCACTCCTCTAAATAGATGCAATCCCATGCAAACACATGCTAGTTTGAATATTGTACAGTGCATACAACAGTGCCAAAAAATATTTTCTATTTTTTCAAACAATTTTCAACAGAAAAAAAATCGTGGATTTGTTTTAGCTTTTTGTTTAACCACTCTGATATATTGCTTCATACTTAAACAGCAAATACCATCTCTTCCTCATTTTGTTTGATTTGAAAATCATTTCAAATATTAATTTGTTTTTGTAAATAAATTTAATTTTAATCAACTTTATTTAGTAAATTAATTTAAAATATTATTAATTTATAAATTTTAATTGACTATTAAGTTATAACTTCCTAAATTATACTACCTTCACCCTGAAAATCATTAATTAATATGAATTTTTGATAAAAGTGAACTAACTACAGTACCCCTTGTGATTTATATTAATGTAAATTAGTTGTATTAAGAGTTAAAATAGAAATATTTATTCAGAATTATCTTTGGAATATCAGATCACTAAATAAATATTCTAAGTACTAAATGTTTTGGAAATTTTGATAGCCTTTATTCTTGAAATTATATTGTTATATTAATAAAAAAAAAAGAAAAGGAATTCTGGAAAGTTTTTTAAAATTTAATGCTGAATAATAATATCAATGTCAATTTATACTTTTCACCTTGCTCTTTTCCATTTAAAATACCTGATAGAATAATTATTTTTTGTATATATATCTTAACCTGTTCAGATAATTCTGAAGCCACCAGAAATTTTTAATACTTTTATGATATATATATTTTTCCATACTTTATTTTAAATGCTTCAAGTAAGCAATATTGTTATTTTTCAGTCCCAAATGTTAATCAGACAATATGGACTAAATTTATCAAGTTTAGAAGAGCATCCAGAGGTAAAAGTATAATTTTTTAATAATTTTTATTGTTTATATATTGGAGAATCATTAAACTGATTGGTGTTAATTTTGCTGCTTCGTTGGAAATAGTGACTAAATTTTGAATTAAAATATTAATGATCAAAATAATTTCAGATGACAGAGTTTGAAAGAATTATAAAAAGTTTACTCTTTTAACATTAATTAAAAATTAAGTTTTATTTAACAAACATACTTAATAAAAATTAAAGTTTCCATTTTAAAATAGAATTATAACTAGAAAGTAGTCCATGGAAAAGTAGAAAATAGTTTCTCAATTTATTTAAACTTTGAAAAAAAATTTAAATCTCACAAATATCATATTGTTTATTATTTTACCATAAAAAAAACTATTATATTACAATTTATTTGTTGATTAGATGTTGAATCAGCCAAAAATACAATCTCAGATCATTTAGCATTTCATTAATAAAAAAAAAAATATACAAAGTTCCATTTTGCAGAGATAATGCATTGCAAAATTACAGTAAATATGAAAATTGTGAATATAGGAAAGAAGAAATATATTGAAAAAATAAAATTAAGGGATTAAAAAATATATACAGTAATTAGAAAATAAAATGTGTTTTTGTAGAAAGATATTTTGCTTTCACATTTATAATTTGTCTCTACTAAATCAATTTATGAGGAAACTGCAAACAATCGTAGGAACTGATTCTCTTTCTCTGCAAATGAGCCATCCTTTTAATTTTGTCTTTGAGGAACATCAGCTTCTTTAACTTCTTGTTTTTCCATAGATTTATAATGTCTTGTTTAGATTGTATTTTTGATTTATAAAGATGAAGGAAAAACTAACTAAAATCCACTTGTAAAATATAATGCTGACATTCAAAGTGTATATTGNAGTGGCGCCAATGTAGACCAGTTCCCTTTCAAATCTATGGTCTGTTAGGGGGATAGTGTATACCCCTGGTAGTTTATCCTCGTTAGGTTTATCTATTTAAGCTTCTGCGCAATGAAAAAGATAAACCTAACGAGGGTAAACTACCAAGGGTATACGCTATCCCCCTAACAGACCATAGATTTGAAAGGGAACTGGTCTACATTGGCGCCACTAAACATGCTATTGGTGTCCGATGGGCTGAACACAGACGGGACATCCTCCACAACAGGGATTCTACATCGTTATCCGTGTATGCGTCTGACCCGGAGATTTCGGTAAACTTCGACAACGCCAAACTCTTCATTACCACATCGTTTATAGACCACCTCAAGTGGTTGGAACAAATGGAAATTTGCAAAGCATACTACACTTCTGCACTTATTAACTTGAGGGATGAAATTACCCTGTCCCTAGCATGGCAGGCCCTACTCCATAAGGAAGATTCACGTTAATAAATACGTATAGTAGATAGGATATTAAAACATCATACCCACTGATATGCTCTTTTATTTTTATTTTTCGTTAATGTAACACATCCATAAAAACCGTTTTAAGAAAACCGAACATTACGTAACGAATTTTGTTACGGAATACTGGAATGCACGTGATTCACATTTGTTTGAATTTTGACTTTTGAAATGTAGTTCTGAAGAATTTATTTTTCGAATGTCGCATTCAGATGAAGTTCGTTCTACGATTTTTAAAGAAGAATCTTTGCTTGAGAAAGGACCAAGGGAAGGATCCGAAAATGTTTGCATCCAATCTTACTCAAATTTAATACCGGTTAAAGGTTTGATGAGGTATTATTTTATATTAATCCAGTGTTTGAAGATTCTTTAGATATTGGACAATTCCAAAATCTCTGTGCTCCTATGAAACAGTGAGAGTTCAAGTGATCGGTTGTAGTCCGGGCGGACGAGAAGGATTGCTGGACGATGCAGATGTTCGGTGTTAAGCTGCGGCGTCCTAGGTGATCGGCGGTGGCACAACACAATAGATAAAGAACAACTGTAGGCTTAATCCAGCGGAGACTTCTCTTTGACCTTGAAGTTCTGATTTTTATAGTTTTTCCCCCACTATTCTCATTTTGGATTGGTCCCTCATCCCATTCTGCACTTTCCGATTGGTCTCTCCTTTGTCTCCAGGTGCAAGACGAAACCTTTTCGGGTTGTGGGAAAGGTTCGATTTGAGATGTCCATCTGATACCTCTTTGTCGACTCTGCTCGGTGACTGTTTATAGTACAATAACACCTGCACTCATAACTCAGGCTGTTGTTTATACCATTTTTTGACGTCTAAGAATTTAATGATCATTTTCATATATCAAAAATTCCCCTTTTTTTTTGTTCGAAAATTTTTATCTCACCCAACATTTTATAGACTCTTGAGTCAATGATCTACCTATTTATGAGCATTCGTGTTAGAATCTGTTTTCCTCTAAGACCTTGACGGATAGTTTGACACATACTCGAACAGTTCCGAGTCTCATTGTTTATGTCTTGTGTCGTGCAAGAATGTCATGGTTTACTCAAGTTTGAACCTCGTCTGGGAACCCACACAATTGTTTATTTTTTGTGTCTCATCAAATATAGAAGATCAAAAGCAGAATTTTCGGCATATTTTGCTCTTTTATTACCAAAAAATCAAAATGCTGTTCAAGCAAGAAAAAAAAGTGTGATGTGTATGGAGATGATGTGTTGAGGGAAAGACACTGCCAAAACTGGTTTACAAAATTTTGTTCTGGCAATTTCATTATTGAAGATGCACCAAGTTCTGGATGGCCAGTTGAAGCCAACGAAAACAAAATAAAGGTACTGATTTAAGCAAACTGCCGAATAACAACACATGAAATCACTAAGAGATTAAATTTGTCAAATTGAACCGTTTATGATTACTTGAAACAAATTGGTTTCGTTTCAAAGCTCGATATATGTGTTCCACATGCTCTTAAAGAGAGATGCTCTCTTTGGTGAGATTTTAAGGAAATTCTTTTTTACAATTGATTCGAAAGTGTACTGCATTGAGTAAACAAATTGAGTAATATCATCAAACAGAAAAGACGACCAGAATTGATCAATAAAACAGATTTAATGTTTTACCACAATAATGTCAAATTTTGCACAAGTTTGGTAACTCGTCAGAAACTGTTATAATTTAGATGGGACATGCTATCATACCAACTGTATTTGTTGGATCGAGCACACTCGGATTATTACTTGTTCTGGTCTATACAAATTTTTTTAACTGTAAGACATTTACTTGAAATGACAGTGTCAAAAATCACTTGGATCAGTTTTTTGTAAGCAATGATCAAAACTTTTATGAATGTAAAATCATGCTACTACCAGAAACAATGACACAGGTATTTGACCAAAATGGTTGATATATAATTCAATAAAATATTTATTTATTATAAAAATATTGTGTCTATTTCCATGGAAAAAACAAAATTACTTTCCGAACAACCCAATATTTATAAGTATAAAACAAACCTGACTGCTTTAATGTCTAAGGTTGTTTTGCTCTAACCAGCTTTACATTTGCAACATTTGTTATGTTTATGACATCATAACCATATGTCATCAATTCCATCTCATTATTTAAGTTAATACAATATTTACACTGGATAATAGCTATGTGTTATTTAAATCTTCTTATATATGTATCATTTTCTTTAAATAAAATTTCTATATTATTTCTATCTGTATTATAATTATTTTCTTTGCAGTGAATAGTCAATGGAGATTGGTGGTATTTTAACCTTATGACTGCCTCATGTTCTTTTAGTCTATTTGCTAATGGTTTTTTAGTCTTGTCTATATAATGTACTTTATTTTTACAAGTACAGCTCAACTTGTAAAAAATACCTGCCTTATTTAAACTATTTATTTTTGTCAAATTATTAGATTTTAAATTTGCATTAATTTTGTTTTTTAACTTTAGGGCTAAACATTCAACACTGTCATGACTTTGTTTTGAAACATGACTCTGTTCTGAAGTTTCTCTAAAAATAGCCCATGTGTGATGTCATGCTTTCTGTTTTGTTGATATATTTATATATGCATGTATGTGTTTTTTCTCATTAAAATCATGTCTCCATACTTACCAGCTTTAACCAAAATGATATTATTGGTAGATAACCACTTTTTGGATGCTTGGCTAGCAGTCTAAATGGATCAATGGATGAAGGAGTTGTATAGTGTGAAGGCCACTTTCTTCCTCAACGTTTCTGATGGTTTTATTTAAAAAATCAGTACTGTATTATTTGTAATAAATATTTTTACTGATACTGAAAACTCCATTCACTTGAATTCATCTGAGAAATACAATACAATGAACATATTTGTAATGTTGTGTCAGTTAGTTATCCATAGTATAAAGTCGAGCCAAACTACAATGACTATCAAAGCTTTATTAATGGGTATGTTTGTAAAGTTGAATGAGTTAAATGAGAATGATGTCATCGTTATTCTTATTTCATTAAACTTTTCAACCAATTTGTTTATAACTAAATGGCTGTTTCTAAAATCGAAGATATGAATGTTGCTAGTGCAGCCTTATTTGAAATATTTTTCTTGAGATTGCTTCAGGTGGACAGTTATTTCTATCATTTCACCTTTTAATTTACAATTTAAACACTTGAGTACATTTAGAAACATTGATATTGTCAGGCACCATTTTCTTAACGAAGTAAATTAACTCTTTCATTTGTGAATTCGTTAGAGTTTGTAGTATCTTGGATGGTCGAAACGATCTAGACATTTTTATCAGGTAGGAATAATGAGGACTTAACAAAGTGATGACACGAAATTTATGAAATTTATTAAAAAACCAAAAGAACATATGTAAAAAAATATATGTGGAGACGAAGGAAAACGCAAACTTAACCTAATCGGATACAAAGATATTTACAGACGATGTTCCTGTGTTCATAACACGTTCACACATTCAATCTCATGATGGTTCACCCCACTAACAAGGTATATCAACACGTGTTGAAAGAGGTTTCACAAACAAAATAACTATGTCGGTTGGTAAAATATCCACTCTACCACATGGTGCCCCTGTTGTATCGGGCATATGCAGTGTCCTCATGTTGATGAAGATGGATTCTTCCTTCTCGACTTCACTGGTCCACTGCTTGCCTTCCGTGCTATCAGCAAATACCCCTTACTTTCTCTCTTTCACTCGATCAGTCCTTATGAGTCCAGTCTAGGCAAATATCCCAAGGGAAAATGTTTCCGACCAATCACAATACACACTATTTAAAAGCTCCCACCATCTGGGAACTTTACACACGTGACTTTTTCGAATAACCAATTGCAAGCCTCACCCATCAAATGGTGGCACATGACATATGGTGGGGGTTTATTTTTTTTTATACAAAACGGAAATCATTCCCGTTTTACAATTTACAATACAAAACTAATTACGTAACTAATATTAATACACCAATTTGAACACAAGATTACAATAAATACAATTAGTGACCATTCACTACAAGTTTCATTCGAAAAGTCATTATCGAAAAGTCTTAGATTTCTTCATTCTTTTGCAGCAAACTGCATTTCATTTTACCTGTTAGTATTTTTGTTATTAATATTTAGAATGATAAAGATCTTTCTTGGACATGCTGTATATTTATAAATCACTCAAATCTTGGTGCTTCATATACAGGTACCTGTGCAAAAATCCAAATTGTGCACTTCTTTTCACAGCTTGCTTTGCTCTTTCTGTTTGTCAATTCCATTGGTTTCCCCTTTTTTGTCTAATGATCACCTTGTACAAGAGCAAAGTGAACTCAGAAGCACAAAAAAGGCAAAAAGATTTTTTCCTTTCAGTTTCCAAGGCTTTTATCTTCTCTCCCTACTTCCCATACATCACCAATCATCTTCCAATCAGGATGTGGCCATAAAAGAAAGTTCTATTTTACACACACAGGTGCACACTTGACAAGCCAAGACAATTATAGCAACTGGTGATAGTGTCCAACTGAGGCATAAAGACAGTACCAAGTTGATAAAAAATAATATTAAAATAAATGAAATAATAAAATTTAAAAAAATGAACATGAGACAGGAGCACATTATACTCCTGTCTCTTAATAATATGTTTTAACATTACCTAACTTCTGTGTTTAGTTTTTGCCTGCTTCTCCTATATAAAATCTATTAGTATTGTTAGAACTATAACATACTGCTGCTGAAGACTTCATTTATTCTTCTTTATTTTGTTTCGTTTTTCATTAGCTGTAAATTTTAATTTATTAGTTGATGATGGTACTGACTGGAGTTCTACCTGTTTAAACTTTTATTTTTAGCTTTTAAATGATCCTTTAATATATAGGAATCTATAAAATTTATCTTTAACAATATTTTTATTTTTTATTAAATATTTATTTCTTTCATATTCTTTGTGCCATTTTTTAAGATAGCAATTGCTTTATCTTAAAAGATATATATAATTCTTCAAATTTATTTATAATTGAAAATTTTTATTTTAGTGAATGAGAAAGCACCTATTCTACTTGTAAATGATATACTGGTTGGTGAATTTAATAGTTACAGAGTTGTGGAGTCTACTATATTATCTGCAATTGATGATGACACCGATCAAAATTATTTAAATGTAATATTAATAACTGAGCCAACAACTGGAAAATTGATATTACAGTCTAACAATGGAAATAAGACTATATTAAGAACTGGATCTATATTTTTTTATACGGCTATACGTGATAAACAATTACTATTTAAACACACAAAACAAGAACCACTAGCAGGTAAGTTAATATTTTTGAGAATATTTTAGAGATCGTATAATTATATATACTTAATTTTGTGAAAGTTTAAGATAAAACTTAAATATGAAAGTTAAAGTTATTGAATTAATTATTTTTTTAAAAAAATAGGTAATTTTAGTATCGTGATAAATGATCGGCAGTTGAATAGCAACATTGAAGAAATCTCAATTAAGATTGTATCTCCATATCCACCTGTTATTGAGCAAATTGAAATTCCAATTATTGAAAAAGGAAAAGAACAAATAATTTCAAATAGATTCTTAATTATAACAGATGAAGATAATTTAAAGGATATTATAATTAATATTGTTGAAGGTATGTAACTGTATGAAATATTATAATTTTGAAATAAGTAGAATAATGTTTTTGACAAATTTTACTTATATCTATTAATCTAATGGTAAAAATGGAATGTACAATAGAATACATTTGATAATTTGCTTAAACCTACCTTATTATATGTTTCATTTTATTAAAATTACCTTTTTCTTAATACTGGAATGAGTCACAAACACACTGTAAACAACCTTTAAAATCCAGTAACAAAAATTTTTAATAAGAACTATTGGCAAACATTTTCAACTTTCACTAAGGTCTACCAGAGATCTCTAAATTAACAAAATTACAAATTGGAATGTGCAGAACAAATTTTTCAAAATATAAACATCTTAATTACCCAATACAGTATATTTTATAATAAAACTAAATTTAAAAAACACTAGAGAGACTATTATTTTACATGTAGGTATTTTGACAAAATTCAGTGGACTTAAATTTTGATTTTAAACACGTAGAAACGCTGTTTTTTTGCATTAAAATGCTACTTCAAATTGTCAATTTTTAAAAGCTTCTTTCCGGGGAGGGGACTCCCTTCCCGGACCCCACCCCAGCGTTGCGCGTAATATTCGTTTTGGCAAAAAATTTATCTAGCCCATTAGCCCCCATATTGAGATCTGCCGCTGGTCAAGGGTGTCACGATTTTTTATTTTTCAATCAGGGGTGCCACTCAATGAAAAAGGTTGAAAAACACTGAGTGTATCAATTCTCTTAGTTCACAGTGCCAATGTGACCTTCATTGAAGGCAGTCTGAATCAATGTGCTTTGTTGAATGTTGAACGATGTGAGTTGGATCCTCTTTTTTCTGGAGGTTGCAGCTGCACCTTCTGTTCCCTTTGCTTAAGAATCTCAGGAGACTTTTGTTAAAGCTTTCATTTCTGATCAGAAATTGGGTAAGCTGGAAAGATATGTTGAAATGGTTCATTATCCATCACTGTGCAAAACTGGGGATGAACTCATAAGTACTCTGCTCAGTGTGATTTTCATCTCATTGCTTCTGCAGGATTTTTAAGTAAGCCTCCTAATCTGGGTTGCTATCCATGGCAGATGCACCTTTATTAAACAACTCTGAGACCTGGCAGGAGTTTTCCATACCATTAACCTCCAATGGGTCAAAGGCCACACTAATGTGCCAGGAAATGATAGGATGATAGAAGTGACTGTAATGTTACACAGATGAAGGAGGCTTGAGATTGGAGCATTGGAAAATCTAAGTATCCTGGACTGGAGCTTTTGAAGGAAGCTGTTGGTAGCTATGGATCAGTGGATATCATGCATATATTCCTGGATGCAATTATGATAAGCAGACCTATAAATAAGGACGGTGTCCTTAAACTTATTAAATTTGAGGGTGATGATGATAGATTTCATCCATTTTTAGATTTTGAAAGTTTGTAGGCTGAACTTAGTGGTATAGCCTGTAGGAAAAAGGGAAAAGGTAAGAGAGGAGAGTTGAAGGTCTAGTAGGAGACAGAAGTTTAGGGAACTGTCAGTTTTGAGGGTTGGAATGTGCTCAAGGGTAAAGATGGTTTTCCACTTGTAGAATTCCTTGTTTATATCATCTATGCCCTCATTGAGGTGTTCTATTTTTGGAATGACATGTTCTGGTGTGAAAGAAATGGGAAGAGTGAAAGCCAGCCAATATATAATGGCAAGTTGTAGGTGATAAGGAGAAACTAATGTTGTTCCAACAAAATGATGCTTTAAGAATGTTGAGTGTGATTAATGCTTTTCTGAGAACAGAGCAGCAACAAATTTATTTTTTTAAATGTTATTTCGGAGGTGCAAACTCAACAGATTCTGCTAAGTCTATGACTTAAGTGTTGATACTGGAAAACAATTGAAGGTCTAACTGGTAGATGCTGTTTTTGAGACCTATTATCAAGTTAGGGATTGAGTATTTCCTGGTGAATTTTTCAAAGGTAAAAATTTTGTGCATAGTGGATCAGAGAAGCACACTCCGGAGGGAGGCAAACATTGAAAATGGAAGATGGGAAGATGCTTAACCATGCATTAAGAAGTTTATTTTTCCTATGGTACAGCAATGGCAAAGGACAAATTTACAATACTATTTGGCCAGTGAAGCCATGTATAAATTCAACTATACTTAAACTGGCTACACATAAATAAACACTAAACATATTAACCAATATCCAGCTAGAAAAAGCACAAGAAAACACTCTATACATGGAGATTGCCAGAAATATTAACTTTCAATTAGGTTTCAGAAGTATTCCTCAAATTTCACCTTCCTCCACAACACTAAAGATCATCTAGATATGTACTGTGCCTCCAACCTGGTATATACTGAAATGGCTATTTTTGCATAAGTAATGTTTGGATTAAGCTATTAGGATGATACTTGGTGAAAATCATTAGAAGACAACGTTAAATAATTATGTAAAATTTTATTAATGTACTGTAAATAATTCGAGATTTGTAAAAATTTACACTGACGTATAATTCTGTTTCACACTATATATTATCCCCATTACAGATCACAGAGCCAACTGCAACTTAGAATATGTGGGCACTACAAGGGGTAACCTTCAAACACCAGACTTCCAACATGAAAGGGTTTGTCAAAACTGCATTAGCAACATTTGACTCCAACCCCAACATGGATATATATTTTGACTGAGCATGCTTTCTACATAGCATCTCCCACAAGGAACTGATTAGATATTTAAATAATTAGAAATTAGTTCATTTTTTTCTTGCAACTTTGTTATCAACTTTAGAAATGTAGACTTCTACCTCCGTGCATGAAAGTTGTTATACAAAGTTTAGTCTTACAACACTCTTCCCAACCTTTTTTTAACACATGGACAGCTATCACCTATTCCGAGTAACTTTTCTGTTCACTGTTTGTTTTAACAGTTGCATTCAAATTGCAAAGTTCAGTTAACTGACAATGTCTGTTCAACATGGATAAAAAAGTTTGATTTTTTGTTGTTTTTCTTGCAAGATATTGGTTATATGTGTGTTGTTTATTTATGTATATCCAGATTGAGTAGTTAAATATGCTTTATAATGTAAAATTTGAAACTTCAAAATTTTTATATGAATTATCAGTCCTCTGAATTAATTTAGTTTACTTTCAGAGTCATTTTTACCAAATTTACTTTTCCAGTCTTTTTTTCAACCAGTGCTTTATGAATGTCTACTGTAGTCATAACTTCAAAACTTTCCCTTCTATCAACTTAGTAATTTTTACTATTGCATCAATTTTTGTTCTCTGTCAGTTTGACTATACCTCCCAAATGAATTGACTCTAGCTATATATTTTTCTTACATAATTTTAATGTTGATGGTTTTACTTTTTGAGTGATAAAGCTGTTTCTAATACAGTCACTAAGAAATTATTCCAATGTGATTCTTAGGAACACATTTAGTATAATGGAACAAAGTTTAGTATAATGTGTAACTTGAAAAATTTACAAATGATCAAATATAAACAAAAATACTTCTTTACAATTGCATGACTCCATTATTTTAACCAAACAAATGCAAAATATTACCTTGCAATGTGAACAAAAATAGTTTTACAGAAACATTAAAAGTCACAAAATGCCCCACTTCACAGCTAGTTTTTGACGGTCTCAAACAATAAGCTTAAGTTCAATAAGACAAAATCTAATACAAGAAATCCTTGTTAATTTGAACTCTAATAGTTCAAAATTCCATTAGTCTGTAACTGTTCTTATGTCTCAGCCATGGATTTAGAGATTTACACATTAAGGAATTTGGTTAGTTTGAAATATGGCTATTTTGAAATTTGAAGTGAAAATACTCTCTTGCAGTTAAAAAAAGTTTAATAATAACACTTAAAAATGTTTAAATAAACTTTACTAAATACAAAGATTAATGTATAAAAACAAAACATAGAGACATCTTAAGGGCTAAAGTTTGAAAGCAATGACAATGACATACAGTTGATGGGAAAGCTAGGACAAGAAAGAAAAAAAATCTACTATCAGTTTTCATTAAAGTAAAAACCTGATGAAAGGCATAAAGCAAATTGAAAATTTCAATATTGTAAAATCCATGGACAAATTTGAGATAACATGCATGCTTGCTTGAATAAAAAAAATATTGAATAATGGAGTTTACACTTAAAAATTGGGAAATTTTGTACAGAAGATTTCCCAAACTGTGTTAGAGCAAAACCGGAAGTTGTGTCGTACTGGGATATCCCCAATTTTCAAACTGTGTTAGAGTGAAACCAAGTTGTATGAAGGATACCTGTATTCATGTTTGTGTCAACTATCAACAACTTTTCAATTGTTTTTGACAGGAAAAAATTTTCTCTCAAAAATATCCATATCATGAGAACACTTATAGTACAAACCACACTTCAATGCAATGCTTTTTCATTTATTTATGAATTTTTAAATATTTTATGACTTTTGTTGACCCTGTATTTTAATTGCAAATTAGTTTTGTTATCAGTAGTTTTAAATTTTGATATATATATATTACACTTTACTACATTTTAGTTATTTGACCCTGTATTTTAATTGCAAATTAGTTTTGTTATCAGTAGTTTTAAATTTTGATATATATATATTACACTTTACTACATTTTAGTTATATTTTTTATTGTTATTTTTTATATTATATGAATAACAATTTACTTTAAATATTTCCATTAGGTCCTCATTATGGAAAACTTTTGAAATTTCCTAGTTATGAAAAAGTTTCAAAGCTCTCTATAAAAGATCTGGAAAATAATAATTTGATATATCAACATGATGGATCCTATAGTAATAGAGATATGATGGTTTTACAAGTTTGGGATGGTTACAATACCAGATTAGGAATTTTTTATTTTCAGATATTTTATCAGGTATGTTTTTTAGTGTTCTAAAGGTTTAAAAATGCCTCATTACTATATAATAAGGTCTTATTTTATACAAGATTAATGTAAGTTGATTTGTGTTTTCATGAATGGTGAACAGTTGGTTAACCCACTTCTAATGCCATTGTGATGTTCACATGAAATATGCTTACACCGACAAAGGAAAGATGTATCAATAATATTGAGCAACAGTGTATGGTCAAACAAAGTATTTTACTTTGCATATATAACTGATTTTTTTTCAGATTCCAACTTCACAGTAGTTAATTATAATTCAAACAATATTTCAGCAGACAATGATAAAATGTATCGTTTGCGACATAGAAATATAAATGATAACCGAAAACTGTGACTAATACTTATATGCTAGCTTACAACTAGGGGAAGAAAGGAGATGATAGGAAGAGTAGAGAATTTACAAAAAATAGAATATAGTAAAGAGTGAAATACCTGGGGTTTTGCTGGACTTCACAATTTGGGTGGGATGCCATGTTGAACTTTTTCTGAAAAGTATCTCGTCGTCGTCTTCACTAGGTTTCTCCTTTGCACCTATTGCTACACTTTTTATTGTAACTACAATAAAATCCAATTTTCTTCTCAGACACTCTTGAATTCTCCAGTCATTGACATATGCGATTTGCTGCACCACATTTGACATCTGTCCACCTCAAGGTCTGGGCCAAAGATTAATGTTCTTCCCTCCTCTCATTGGCCTTCAGGGCCTCTTTTCTTTCATTGTTTTCCATGGTTCCAAGAATTGGTCATCACCATCCAAGGGAAAAGAGTTAGAAAGGAAAGTTCTGGAAGCAAGAAGTAACAAAGAACAAAGGAGAGGACTAAAACTATACTTAAATTAATATATACAAAATGGCATACTGCCACACCATTGAATCTGACTTAAATCAGCAAACTAACAGATTCTACTCTATGTAATAAATACTCTGGTTTGAATTAACTTTTTTTCAGATAGAGTGTTCAATAAAATTTTGGTCTGTGTATATGAAAAAACACAGTCTAAATTGCTACTCATTATAATACAGTGAATCCTCTAGAAATTTTTAAAAATTTTCTGTCATTTAGCCGCATTTGGTTTTTTCCACACATTATGATCTTCCTCTTCCCGTTATTTTATGCAAAGCTTGTGTTCACACAGGACACCTCACACAAACAAATGTGTCACCTCACCTCTTTTTTTCCAGTTGATTAACAAATTTGTGAGTTTCCAGAAAAAAGAATTAACTATTTTCTATTGAATCTCAGAAGTTTGTAAGAAATTTTTAATCTTTGTGTTGGTTGCAATTTCTTTTGTAAAATACATAGTTTTGAAAGTTTTTAACTAGAAAATAGACACTTTCATTTATGTTATAATGTAAATTTCAATAATATTACTGTTGTTTTAACTTTTACAAGAATATGTTGACTTTTTTTATTATTATTTATCTGTGTGATTATGAAGATTAGTTGCATTCAATTAATTATTATTTATTATTTTTAGTTTCTAAATTACATTAGTTAGAAATAAAATTTTTTAAAATTTGTATTTACAAATATTTAGGAATCAGTCAACATAAAATTTTGATTTTTTTCTTACTAGTATTTACAAATTCCAATTAAATCATACCTAGTTAATTGGAACATTGTATTCAAAGGTTTTTTATGAAAAGAAATATATGTAGCAGACACATATAATAAGTGGCAAATTGTAACTTAACTCGTTTTTGTTCATATAAAAAGTTATAACAGTTAAGTCATTGTCTCAGTTTTGATCTGCATGTGTTGGGTAGTAGGGTAGGCTTCCTTGCGTATAGATCACACTGGAAGAAGTGGGCTTCCTTACATATTTCATCTGTATTCTGGAAAGGATATTTGCTGTTGAAAATGAAATAAAATAGAAATTATGAACTTGTAAACTGAAACTGTCGCATTCACTTCACAAGAGGTTTGTTACAAGTCTCTGACTGGTTTAAATTTGAAATCGTACGAGGCATGCACGAAGTCATTTTACAGCCAAGAACTGAACAATGCACATGCCGGTTTTAAAGCAGTTAGGGATTGGTGTTGGAACAAACCTAATATTTGCCAGAGATATTTGCAAGTTAGAATTTTAAAAGTACATTTTCGGTCACTCTTAGCCTAGGGACAAGATAGAGATAAGAAAGTTTGGATTGGGGTATAATGTTAAAGTCTTTAACCGTTAAAATAAAATACTTTCAAATATTTTTATAAATTTATTTTGTTTCATCATAATTTCACAATTTCTATGAAAACTGGACAAATTAATAATTAATTCAAACCATGAATCTGAAAACTGATGTGTCCAAGTGAAAACCAGTCTTGTGGCAACATTATATGTAGCAGTCACATTGGGGTCTGTGAGACCCATGTTTTAAAATTTTTTATATGAAGTCATTTTTCATTCTAATTTATAAAAATTACTCTATTATATGTGAAAATTACTTAAGAAATTATTGAGAAAAATGTGAAATGAGAAACAGAAGTACAGTAGAGCCTCGATTATCCGACTCAATTGGGGACTGGGGTTGGTCGGATAATTGAAAAGTCGGATAACTGAAAAGTATGAAAAAATCCATTATTAGTGTAGTATATTATTATATCCCATGTAATTAGTATATCGCTATTAACCTACTTTGCATTGACTTTTCATCGATGTTAAGCGTAACAAAAATTTTTTAAAATAATAATCGTCGCTATTGTATCATTAAAAATTAGAAAATTAAGCCTCGTTTAAATACTGGCTCCCTTTCATGGTCGATCCAGTGTTGCCAGCTAAAACACGTAAAAATAATATTAAAGTAGCCAAGACATAGCCAAATATTGTAGTGCCACATCACTAGCGGACATTTGAAATTTGCCGGCTAGGACGGTCAGTTAACCGAGGTGACGGTTAACCGGGGATCGGATAATCGAGGCTCTACTGTATATCTTCGAAATATAACTATATTTTATTAGTGAAATATTTGTTCAATTATTATTCATAATAACTAATCTTTTTACATTAGAATTGGGTTGAAAGTGTAAAACTGATTTTCAACAATAATATATTATGTTTCTTAAACAATCAATATAAAAAAACTCAGTATGGATACTAATGTTCCCTATACCCATGATATTCAGTCTCAAAACTCCAAACACAAAACATCACAGTGTTTGTCACAGATTGCCTTTCTACAGGACTAGCACATTCTCTTAGTCTTCCTCTTAGACAGAATGAGCACTGTTGTTTTCTTTCCAATTCCTGAGGATGTTTCTGAGGATTCTTAATGTTCAGAATTTCTGAGATAGTGAGTCGTAAACTTATGCATAAAGTATTTGTTTCAAGACAATTTTTTATATATGGTTTCATCATCATTGAAAAAAGTTATTGTAGTGTGTAAATTTTATGCAAAAATTGCAACAAAATATGCTATTATCAGTGAAACATATCTGAGAGTTTTCTGACATAAAGAACACGCTGGATCTCAGGAACCCAGGCAGTGCACCAATGTTTTTCACTATTCACTACTAAAATGTCTGAAGGTCACTGAAGCTGCTACTGTTGGAATTCAAATGCCAGGTGTACCAACTGAATTTGCNTCACTTAAAAAATTTTAATGAAGATATTTATCTTAATTATGAAAATACACTAGCATGTCTTTTAATTTTTGGAACCTAACCCTCCTTTTCTTATTAGTTCTTTGTTTCGTATAACACGGCAATTTTTTGGAACGTAACTACCATGTTATACGGGGGTTACCTGTATTTTAAATTTAAAATATGATTAAAAATTTCTGCCTGGCATTTTGACAATGTCACAATAAATAATTGCTCATTATAATTTATATATTTTACATATGTCATAATTAACACATTATGGATACCATATGATTTACTGTTAATAATAATTTTGCCAAATACAAATTTAACCCTACTGTACTCAAAAAAGTAAACTTTTCATTTGCATTTTATTTGCACAGATGATTAATCTTTTAAGAAATTTTAAATAATTTTATAATCTGATGTAAATTAATAAAAAATGTTTTTATTACTAAATTATTTTGGAATTTCTTCTGAAATTCATTAAAAACTTTGTTTCTGATCTAATCACTAAAGAAAAAAATATGATAGTTGTTTTATATTTGAGAATTATTATTCTTTATCCAAGTCTAATTTTATCATTTAACGTTTTTTTACATTATAATAACTAATAGTAAACTGTATCATTATTAGAAACAGTTTTTAATGTAAGCATATACTAAAACAGCTATCCTGACTAAAATCTTTTTATTATAATAGTATTGTTTTATTTTAGTACAACTGCACATTCTATCAGATATGTAAATTTTAATTCTAAATCTAAAACTTAGTACCACTTTGTTTTTGCTTACTTTACAAGTTGTTTTTTTTCCATATGTATTTTATTATTCTGTTTTCAAAAATTGATTTTAAAAATATAATTTATTAACAATTATATTTATTAAATTTGTGAATTCTTAAATAGTATTTTAATAATTTAATAAAATTTAATAATTAAATTTTAATAATTTAATAAAGAAAAATGTCTAACTTACTGCTAACATTAAAAATGGTCATCAATATATTGTTCTATTTATCTATAGAACTTAGAATTTTGTAAGCCATAAATAATGATCTTAGAAATGGAAGTAAAGAATGAAGATTCTAAGATCATCATATTTAAAATTTAATATTCACTTTTGCAATAAGTATGGTACAAAATACTATTATTATAAAATATTACCAGTTTGTTATTTTTAATGAGAACAATGTGGTCTTTCAAAATTTAGTAACTCAGATCAAAGAGCAACTATGTCAAAAGAAAAAATTCTCTTGATATCTTCCTTGCAACTGTCAAGTAAATTAACTCAATGCTAATTTTATCTAATGCCAAAAATGCAAATGCTAAAATAGCTTTCATTTTGAGATTAGTACTACTACATAAGATATCAAATTGAAACTATTGGTTTCTGGTT